CGCGTTCCTGGGTGGGCGGGGGTCTCTGGATTGGCGTCTGCCAGTCAGGTGTTGGGAGCTGCCGTAAGTTCTACTGGTTTTCAGCCCTTAGCCGCCTCCTGGATCCATGTCCATGTGGCTCTGAAAGTGTTCATGGCTCGGGTCACTGCAGTCTCTGCCTCCGTCTGCACGGGGCTCCTCCTCTGGGTCTGTGTCCCCTCTGGGTCTAGCAGCACGGACTTTGGGAGCGATCTTCCTCCTCTCAGCCTAAGGCGTGGGCATCAGAGGGACATCAACGGCAACTTTTTGTGTATTTTTGGGGGGGTACCAGGGATTGCACTCGGAGGCCCTCGACCCCTGAGCCCCGTCCCCGGCCCTTTTTTTGCATTTTATTTTGAGACGGGGTCTTGCGAGGTTGCTAAGTTGTTGAGGCTGGCCTCCAACTTGCCGTCCTCCTTCCTTAGCCTCCTGAGTTGCTAAGATGACAGGCGGGGGCCCAACTTGTTCCTTGAATGTCGCTCGCGTGGGACGTCCGGTCCTCTGGGAAGCCTCCTTCCTTCCCCCACCCCTTCCCGCGCTGTTTGCGATTCGAGTTCTCCTGCACCTTTCTGTTCCGCATCAGCTCTGCGTCCGGGTGTGTTGCCTGAGCAACTGTCCATGTCAGTCCTGCCTGTGGGCGGGGCTTCTCGGTGGGCCTGAATTTGGGGGGTGACGTTGTGTGTGAGGAATTAGGGGATCCCTCTTCCACGTGGGGGTGACTTTCTCTTGGGGACCTTCCCTTTTCTTTAGAGTGGATTCCACTTTTAGATTTCTCCTGGGGATGGGGGGCGTTGGATTCTGAGGATCCCATTTGTGACTGTCCAGCAGGGGACACCTGGACTCTGGCTGTCCATCCGGTGGGTCCTTTGGTCCCTTCCCACCAGCGCTCAAGCCACTTCCTGTCCTAACCTCTGGTTTTGCTCCATCGTAGACGGCCCAGTGCTTTGGAAATATCCAGATCCATGCTGGCAGCCAGTCGATGTGGGCAGGGGACACTCTCCAGGGACAGAGGGGTCCTCTCAGAGGGGACAGGGACAGCGTGCCCCTCCTGCCCTCCAGTTTTATG